AGGGGGAATTGTTTCCTTCAGAGTAATTGACACATGATAGCAGCCCGTATTGTCATAGGCATCAGATGAACAGCGTACTTCAGCTCCTGGCACACAGCTTCCCCTAATGGGAGAAAACATTTATATGTAATAATAGTAACGCAGGAGCAAGGGGGCTGCTGCTCGGTAAAGGGTCTCTGTGATTCTGCCAGAAGGGCACAATCAGTATAAGAGGATCCAGCTTTGTGATGCAGACAGGCCAGGGACTTCTTAAGATAAGGCTATTTGGGATGAGGGTTTGTCCTGAATCCTTTGGGGTGGGGAGCGGTTCAGAAGGACAGTTCCCTGCGTGCAGCCAGCTATTCTCATGCGCTCTGAGCAGGGTGCTTGTGAGTTACTCAGCCTTCTCTAACACACAGCTGATTTCTCCCCACTTTCCTTCTGTCTCCCACAGGGGACATAAAGAGAGAATTAGACTCTCAGACCACCTTTCTGTATAACAAAGGATGACGAGGCAGACAGAAGGGAAGCTAGGATTGCTGTGCTATTTTGGACACAACAAAACAAAATATAAAAACCATAGCATAGCATCTTCGATGATGTCTCTTTTATATTCCAGAATGCTGATACGTGAAATATATAAATAAAGATTTGTGTTAAAAGAGTGGAGAACTTTAGGCACCACTCGGGTGGCATGCTGAAAATGCATTTGATTTGAACCCCAACAATCTAGCCTCTGCTGTTCTACTATCTAGGACATTGAATGCATTAGCGCTTGGACTTGGCCTTGAATTGCAAATTTGATTTTTGTTGTTCATATTAAAAAAGCTACACCAGATGCTTGGAAAACATTAGGGTCTTGCCAGCTAGGGGATAGAAATATTATCATTCTACCTATTTGTATTTTGAAGATCTAGAAAGCATTCTATCTCGGTTACAGTTGTGACTATTTGTATCACTGAATTTTAAAAATAGTTAAGCTAAGGATTCATGGATGTTTACTAGGTACCAGGTGTGAAGCTAAGTGATTTCTACATTATTTCATTTAAATGCATCCTCACGGCAAATCCATGAGCTAGGTATTATTAACTCACTTTGCAAATAAGGAAACCAAGGCCTAGGAAAGGTTAAATAAGTTTTCCAGGGTTCATTCGTTCAACAGGTATTTCTTATATGTCTACTCTGAGCTCCTGGAAGCCCACTGATAAACAGAATGGAAAAATCCCTGCCTCTGTTACATTCTAACAGATAGTTATCACTGCAAACATTAATTAAGTACCAGATAACAGGATATGTGTCAAGTCTTAGGTAGAGAACCTGGGGTTTGAATCCAGGCATTCTGACTCCAGAACAAGTGGTCCTGTTGCTCTAATTCTTCACTGCACTGCCTTACCCAGTAGGGTGCATTCAGCTGGTAAGAGGTGAAACAGGGTTCCCAGTGGGACTCCGCCAGTGCCATGATCTCAGCCACCACCATTTCACAGAGGAACCCATTCCATGACCTTGAGCAGAATCATGGATTTATGCTTTCTAAAGCAAAGTCAGGTTCATTTTTAAGACAAGTGCTTGTTTCGCAAAGGTTAACATGGCTTCAGGAGATGCCAAGGGCCCCAGGCCTTGTCCCCGTGGTCCCTGAAGCTGAGATACTTGACCTTGCCACTCTGTTTGCAGGTATGTTCAGGTTATCTGCCATACCTGAGGTCAGAACCATGGCTTCCCAATTCGTCCAATAAATAACATCATTTTCTAGCAGTTTCTGCCTAATGTGATAGGCTGAACCAATATATCTTTTTTTAAGTCAAATTCCAGGGTATCCCAGGTAGGGCCTTGTCTTAAGCAGTTCAGGAGCCTCAGCCAAGTGCCTACAGACAGAGTTTGATGTTATGATTAAACACATAAGATTTTTAAACAAGGGTTAAACTAGATTTTTCTCGGGGGCCCTTTTGTCTCTGTTTACTTTTCCAATGGAATTTTCTACTTATGAGAAAGCACCTAGAAGGAAAATGATGCTTCCTGAGATTCACCACCCCATCTCCAGATCGGTTTTAGGACACATGGGGCTCCTCTAGAGCACTGGCAGTTTCACATGTGAGTGCTACCATGTCAGGGTCTCAGGAAACCCTACTCCTCTCCCGTTGGGTCTGCAATACACAGCACCCTTGCTAAGTGTAAGGGAGCACCTGAGTGGAAGGACTGCTCTGCCTTCTCCCTCCCACCCTGTGTCTTTCTGTCTTCAAATATACAAAGCTCCTGATGCCCCTTCTAGCCCAGCCCGGTCACTCTTCTCTCACTCAGCAAGCATTTCCTCAGTACCTGCTCTATGCCAAGCTCTTTTAACCAGGGACACATACACTGGCCCTTTCTGGCAGAAAGGAAGACAGCAGACAAATGAATCGGATTTCTAACTAATGAGTCCATAGAGTCTCCAAGACTTTCTTTTAATTTGACTTTAGCAAGTCCAGTTAAGTAGACACAACATTGTCTGAGGTAAGGGATCCATCACACCCATTACCAGGGATGTAGAGTCTAATTCAGGTATTCCTTATGGTCAGTGGGGCTACCTGTTCTGATCCAAACTCATCTTGTTTAGTCCCTGTGAATTAGATAGTATTCTACTATCTGTTAACCATGCAGCCCGCCCTGTGGCCTACAGGCACATCAGCCACAGTCCCTACCTTTTCAGAGCTCACTAAACAAACAATTAAGCTGTTGTCCAAAAGTGTGGTAGAAGCTATGATGAAGAAGCATCGATTGCTTGGAAAAACTTTTTCCAAGATATTTAATCCAGTAGAGGTGGATCAAGGAAAATGACTAACATAGTTGGGGTAAGAAAAGGATATAGGAGAAGACTTCCTAGAGTAAGTGAAATCCAAGATCTGACCTGAAGAATAAGCAGCTATTAACCAAGGCCAAAGGAGAGGGAGGGGGAGGAGTGTGTTCCAAAAAAGGAAAACAACTTGTACAGTGCCCTAGGGTCAAGAGGAAGCTTGGCACCTAGAAGGAACTGGAAGAGTTTCAGGAGAGTTGGTAGGAAGTGCACAGTAGGAGAGGGGCTGGGAAGGGGTGCTGAGCAAAACAGCAGAGAGATGAGTAGGAGCCAGGTGGTTTGGGCAGGAGTCGGTTTGGATTTTAATTTACAGACCATGGAAATCATTGCAGAGTGATAAACAAGAAGAGCAATATATATCTTTTCTTTCTTTTTTTTTTTTTTTTGAGACAGAGTCACTCTGTCACTCTGGGTAGAGTGCTGTGGTATCATAGTTCACAGCAACCTCAAACTCTTAGGTTTGAGCAATCCTTTTACCTCAGCTTCCCAAGTAGCTGGGAATATGGGTGCCCACCAAAACGCCCAACTAGTTGTTCTATTTTTAGTAGAGACCAGGTCTCAATCTTGCTCAGGTTGGCCTCAAACTCCTGAGCTCAAACAATCTACCCGTCTTGGCCTCCCAGAGTTGCTAGGACTACAGGTGGGAGGCACTGTACCAGGCCTAGGGCAGTATATTTTTTGAAAAAGGTGGCTGTGTAGAAAATAGATAAAGAGAGGACAGAACAATGAATAAAAGAACAGACAAAAGAACAAATGGATGAATGAATGGAGGCAAGGCAAAGAGACCAGTCAGGAGACCATTGCAACAATCTAATAAGGGATACTGACATCCTAGCCAAGGATGGTGCAGTGAGGGCAGAGGTGAATGGGCATGTTGTGTTTTGAAGGTAGAATCCGTAAGACTTGCTGATGGGTGATGTGGGAGGTTTTAAGAAAAACATTCCAGTTCCTGACTTGGATAATTATACAGTAGATACTGAGATGGAGAACATTGGTGAGGATGATGTTTGAGTAACAGAAGATACAAAGATCAGACATTTAAATTCACGAACTCATCCTCCAAAAAGTGCTACATACCTCATTGCTTAGTATCACTACAGTCACCTTCAAAGTACTCCTCTTGGGAAGCTGTGCACTGACACCAGCACCTAGTCCATCCTTTAAAGCAATTTTGGAACTCTTTTTCTGGAACAGCCGTGAGATCTGGTATCATATGGGGTCTGACAATTAAGTTCATAAACTCAGCTTTCTCTAGGATGAGTGTCTGACCTTAACTGTCAGACCTCATGATAAGCTCAATGTGGAGTTTTACATGTCTGTGGAGCACCCAGGAGAAGAATGTTGGTGTTAGTGGAGCTTAGCAGAGAAGATTGGCCAGGATACATTTGGGGAGGCCATCAAGCTAAAGAAGATAGTTGAAGCTGTTGTAGTAGATGGTTGAAGCATGATGAAAGTATCTCGGCAAGCAGGCAGTGAGCAGCAGAAGGAAAAAGCTTAAGACAAAACATTAAACAGTCCCGTTATTTAAGAGAAATAAAGAATGCATAAGAGATTAAGAAACCTGATAGAGAGAAAGGAGGAAACCCAGAAGAGTGTGATATGGTGGAAATCTATGGAAATGTGCTTTTAAAAGAGAGTAGGCTACTATGTCAAAAGGCGCTAAAAGAGGGGGTGAAGTGAGGACTGAAGGGGTATTTTGAATTATGTTAAATATTAATCTTCGGTTCCTTGCTTTACAGTAAATATGTTAAATCGTGTATTCTTAAAGGTTTTTTCCAGTGTTCTCTAAAATATTATTGATTCAATTTCTTGACGCTCTCAATTAAGTTGTGGCAAGAATTTAAGATTGGGTAATAATATCCTTCTCAAGTACGGTACATTTTGATCCAAGTCTCACGTCTAGCTTTCATTCCAAACATAATAACAGATAATTCCTCCCTGTGAGAGGAAGATTTCCTTTAACTGTCCCTTTTCTTTTGTTCCCCACTCTCTAATCTTTGGTTTGTTTCCTGTCTCTTAGCCCCATGAGCTCTGCTTTTAAATGAAATCTTTTCAATAAAATCAGGTAGCATTGCCTAATTTTGAAATGAGAAGTATGTCTTTCTTGTGTGTTCTAAACCATTTAAAAATTAGTTCATGGCACTCACAGATGATCTGGAGATGTAGTCATCCTCTTTTCCTGTTTCTTTTCCAGCTCCAAGAGACCGTGAAGAGGAAGTTGGAAGGAGCGCGATCACCACTTAATGGAGACCAGCAGAATGGTGCTTGCGATGGGAACTTTTCTCCAACTAGCAAGCGAATTCGAAAGGACATTTCCGCAGGGATGGAAGCCATCAACAATTTGCCCAACAGCATGCCACTGCCTTCAGCTTCCCCTCTTCACCAACTTGACCTGAAGCCTTCTTTGTCCTTGCAGAATAGTGGAACACATGCTCCTGGGCTTCTAGAAGATCTGAGTAAGAACGGTAGGCTCCCTGAGATCAAACTTCCTGTCAACGGTTGCAGTGACCTGGAGGACAGCTTCACCATCTTGCAGAGCAAAGACCTGAAGCAGGAACCTCTGGATGACCCTACTTGCATCGACACATCAGAAACATCTCTTTCAAATCAGAACAAGCTGTTCTCAGACATTAATCTGAATGATCAGGAGTGGCAGGAATTAATAGATGAATTGGCCAACACGGTTCCAGAAGATGACATACAGGATCTGTTCAATGAGGACTTTGAGGAGAAGAAGGACCCAGAATTCTCGCAGCCAGCCACTGAGACCCCGCTCTCCCAGGAGAGCGCGAGCGTGAAGAGCGACCCCTCTCACTCTCCCTTCACGCATGTCTCCCTGGGCTCGCCCCAGGCCAGGCCTTCTTCTTCGGGTCCTCCTTTTTCTGCTGTCTCCACGGCCACTAGTTTACCTTCTATTGCCAGCACTCCGGCAGCGCCAAACCCTGCCAGCTCACCAGCAAACTGTGCTGTCCAGTCCCCTCAGACTCCAAACCAAGCCCACACGCCAGGCCAAGCTCCACCTAGGCCTGGAAATGGTTATCTCCTCAATCCAGCAGCGGTGACTGTGGCCGGCTCAGGGGCAGGCCCGGTGGCTGTGCCGAGCTCTGACATGTCCCCGGCAGAGCAGCTCAAACACATGGCTGCACAGCAACAACAAAGGGCCAAACTCATGCAACAGAAACAGCAGCAGCAGCAGCAGCAGCACTCAAATCAGACGTCCAGCTGGTCTCCCTTAGGCCCTCCATCAAGTCCATATGGAGCAGCCTTTACTGCAGAAAAACCAAATAGCCCAATGATGTACCCCCAAGCCTTTAACAACCAAAACCCTATAGTGCCTCCAATGGCAAACAACCTGCAGAAGACGGCAATGAATAACTACCTCCCTCAGAATCACATGAACATGATCAATCAGCAGCCAAATAATTTGGGTACAAACTCCTTAAACAAACAGCACAATATTCTTACTTATGGCAACACTAAACCCCTGACCCATTTCAATGCAGACCTGAGTCAGAGAATGACACCCCCCATGGCAAACCCCAGCAAAACCCCCCTGATGCCGTACATCCAGCCGCAGCCTCAGCAGCCCCAGCAGCAGCCCCCGCCGCCACCGCAGCTGCAGGCTCCCAGGGCGCACCTGAGCGAGGACCAGAAACGCATGCTTCTCATGAAGCAGAAAGGCGTGATGAATCAGCCCATGGCCTACGCTGCGCTGCCGTCCCACGGGCAGGTAAGTGTGAGAGGGAGACGCCCTCGCGGCCGTGCTCCTAACGCCGTGTTTCAGACCGGCAAATGTGTGATGCTCACCAAGCTTCAGCTGTAGTGGGGTCTAATGACCCGCAGACACCCTCCCTGCACATCTTCATGGAGTGACCAGGATTGGGGACATTTTCCCCCTTTCTTCTAAGGCTGCAGTCCCCAATGTCCAAGGCTGCTGACCAGTACTGGTCTGTGGCCTGTTAGGACCCGCGCTGCACAGGAAGAGGTGAGCTGCGGGCAGGCAAGCGAAGCTTCGTCTGTATTTACACTTGCTCCCATGGCTGGCGGCACTGCCCGAGCTCCACCTCCTGTCTCATAAGCAACAGCATTAGATTCCCAGAGGAGTGCGAAGCCTCCTGTAACGTCCCACATCCTTGGGAGCATCTAATACCCTCCCCATACTTCCTGTCCAGGGAAAAATTGGTAGGAATGTGGGGACATTTAGGGCTGTCTGCAATGGTTTTTCCAAGGCCCTGTACTACTGAATTCAGCCTTCTTACTGAATGATGAATAGTGGGAAATTTGGATTTTTGATGTTCAAATGTGGGAGAGTTTTCTGTATTTTCAGTGTGAACTGGAGATAGATTTTTATAGGACCATTCTGTGTTTGAACACTTCTGCTGAACTAGCCATAGTTAGGAGTTGCTTTAAGCTTGTTACTTGGGAGTACAGTAAAACCTCTTCAATTCATTCAGTGTCATTTCCAGACAATATGTCTAATAGCTGTATTAAAAATAAGTCTCCTCTTTCCCACTGTCTTCCTCATGACATCCTGGTTTAGGGGTAGGGATCTCAGTGTGCATAGTGAGGAGTGAGCAGCAACCATTTGGGAAGAGAATACTCACTGACAGGTATTTCTGCTGTCCTCATCCTGACCAGGGGACAAGCAGCCAAAGCTCCTTTAAAACACTTTATCGACCCTGAAAGAAAGGGAGAGTGGAGAAATGCACCTGAGAGTGACCTTCCCCCAACCTGGAGGAATTCATGAGGGATGTTCTTACTGCCAGGTGCTGACCTGTTCCTCAGCCCTTTGAGGATGCAGACACTGGCATTCTAGTTGGAGATTTTGCAGAGAAGTCTTTGCTTTAGAAGCTCTCATGTCTAAACAGGTTCTAACTCGCGCTTGGATGTGTGTCCACAATGGGCTGCGTGAGAAGCGTGGGGAAGTAATGCAGGTAGATCTTGCCTCCTTGGTTGTCTGCATCTTGAATCTCCTGGAGTGCCCCACCCAGCCTCACCCCGCAGGCTGGATGGAGGCTGCAAGCCTGGAGGTGGTGCTGCCTGCAGAGACAGGCCTCAGCCCTGTGCTTTCATCCTTGTCCTTCTCAGCCTTCCAACCCCAAAACCTCACAGGGACTTCTTGTCTGCACATGCCACCAGCTCTGAAGAAATCCTGTCTGGGTAAATAAAAGTATAGCTTGGTTTACATCAGCTGCAATCAGTAGCTGGTGGAAAAACATTACTGAAATGTGAACTTTTATGTTTTATCTTGGTTTCATTAAAAAAGAAAAAAATGTGTATATATACGTGTGTGTATATATATGTATACACACACACTATTGGAAAAATGCAAGATTTTGTGCATTTTGAGATTAAGTTCTGAAGCAGGCAAAAATATAAGCAATGTACAGGGATGTCTGTGGCAGCCCAGACGCATCAGGAGGTTTATGAGATCGCAAGCTGTCAAAATGGTCTGTTGTTAATCTTAATACAAATTGTGCTTCTGCGTTCACTGTGTTCACGCCAGCTACAGTAGTGTATTTACCAGAGCAAAGATGATTAATTCCAACTCACAGGCGCTGCAGACATGTGGGTGCACTGATGCACCCACCCTCACCCCCAGCACTCACGAAATGTCTTTTGAAATGTGCTAACTTGCAATGAAGTTCCTGTGTTTGCGGACACATGAATTTTAAAGGTCCTTATTTCAGGTCTTGAGCTTGCCTAACTATGTGCACCGACGCTGCTGGCTGCAGAGGTCATGTTTTCAAAGAGCTCAGTCAGGTGGAGAAGCCACAGTGATGGTTTTCTGGATTAAATCTATGTACATCTCCTCTCTTCCTCCATCTCACAAGGTACTTTCAGAGTAGACGGAATCTTCCTTTGTGAGGCCTCATTAGAATAATCACTTCTTAACCTTGTTAAGAACCATCAGGTAAAAGCATGCTTTCTAATGAAATATTAACTCACTAATGTTTGATACAGGCTTCAGAATACATATATAAACATGTGAATATCTTTCTGCAAACATACCACTTATTTCATGTTTTTATCTGATTGTGAGCAGTATGTACATAGCTCTCAGAATAATTACACTATATGTCAGTACATTGCACAAATACTAAATGAATTATAGGTGAGATACAAATGCCACGAGGACCACGAAGAGAGCTTCATTTTAACAAAAGACTTGAGCAACAGAGCTGATTAGATACATTTATTTAGGGAAAAGTATTTTAATAGATGTTTACTTCTTTGGGACACTCGGAGAAAATGCCTTTTCTCTTAGAAATGAATAAAAATACACTCACTTCCCAGATATTTTGAAAAGAAGGAAACCGAAAATAGAAACCAAAAAAATTCAAAACTTTGAAGGTATACTTTTACTTTTCAGAATTTACGTATTATGCTTTATAATCAGAGGATTGAACAAGGACTATGCTCATGGTATCCCTTATGATAATGAACAATTTGAACCAAAAAAATAAATAATGTACATGAAACTCATGATATTAATGAAAGATTAACCACATGCAAATGTTAATATTATGAGTACAATAAGCAGGTCAGAAAACAGGTTGTATGTTACAATCCAAACCATGTTTTTTAGTATGAACAGAAAAATTCCAAAGAACTAAAGTGTTAGATATGGTATTTACTTCTGGAAAAATTATGAGTGATAATTGTTTTCCTCTTTATACTTGGCCAAATTTTCTGAACTTTCTGTCATATATGTGTGCTAATTCTACCCTCAAGAAAAATAGTTTTTTTAGGGATGGAGAAACTCCTGTTTTAAAAAATATTTACACTTTGTTAATTCTTTTAAGCAAACATTCTTTGTTGAATTGATTTGCCAGTTGGATCAGACAATATCATGACTCTCTAATCATTTACATATGCTAGTTATGAATCCCTGTTCTAGTAAATAGTACTAAAACCTTTCTCCCACACTCAGTGTCTGTTCCTTTCTCTTCTACATCCCCTTTTTATTTCTTACCATGCTCTCTTAATTTTCCCATAGAACTTGAGCTAAAATAGTGATAATGATGTATCAATAATTTTTATTGTTTACAAGTTTTCAAATCTACTCTGGCATACGACATTACATTATTTCTTTGATCATTTCTCCCTTCCCTTTTCTGTCTCTTTTTCTTTTTAACTTCCTTGAACTTTTATTCATCGTGAATTGGACCTCCTGAATTGCTCTTTAATATTTTAGTTTTTTAATGTTTATGAAATAACCAGAACTTATTCTGGCCATGTCTTTTTTTTTTTTTTTCCCTTATCTTGTTCCTAAAGGGCAAGATTTCCATCTCTCCCTTTTTCTCTTATTTTAGCTAATGTTTGCAGAGTGCCCAACACTGTGTCTTGAACATAAGGGTGTCCTAATAAAGCGTTCGATGGCAGTCCTCAGAGTTCAGGCCAAAAATACGTTCATAGTTGATTATCAGCTCCAATGAAGAAAAGCATTAGCACAAATAACACAGAGCTGCTTTTGAGATCAAATCGAAGAACTGAAAAGGCAAGTCTAAAAGGAATCCATTGATAGGAAGTGGTTATCTTGAACCAGGGAACAACAGGGAGACTGCTGGGAAGGCAAACTCAATCCCCGTGTCTGACAAACAAGAAACAATGGGGCGACTATGAAGGAGGGAAACCAAAAGCAGGCGACTGCTTGCTGGTCAAGGAGAGTCACAGGCCTACCCAGAGCCCAGGAATAGTCCCGACGTGGAAGCGAGCAAAGAGAATAATTTCCAAAATGTGATGTTAATTTTTAATACTTGCATTAACTAGATTAGATAAATCCAAGACCACTCTGCCTACTTTATTCTTGACATGTGCGTCTCCGTGTGTGGCTGTGTGCATTCTAATGAGCACACACGTGCTCGTGTTTTGCAGAATGTTTTCCCCTGTCAATTTTATTTTATCAGAATTTGTGGAATACCTTGTGAGGTGTATTACGAGAAGCTTTTTAGCCATAAGAATCTCCACAGGAGGAAGGGAGTTCCAGTATTCACAGCTGTCATGGAAATCTCTCTGAAGATACATTTTCCTTAACTTCAAAAATCTGGAGCCCCCTTGTTCAGTTTCCTTAGAATATATTTTGTTTACTGTATCCAAAAAACACAGGCACATAGTTCAGAAAGTCAAACAGTACCACAATAGTATCGCGAGACAGGCAGTCCCCTGGTTCGCCCTTTCCATGTTTAATTTCTGCTTCCCAAAGGCAACCGCTTCAATTCATTAAGTTGTTCTCTCATTTATCTCCATAAACTGCTGGTTCTCAGTTTTTCAATTACTCGACTCTATAGAAGATGAGGATTGAGCTTCCTTCCAGTACCTCTTCACGAACACTCACAGCTCCCTCCCACACAGTCTTTCTGTTCTTTCCCATACTTTCAATATAACTAGCTATATCACAAATTATGATTTTTTTGTTTGTTTGTTTGTTTGTTTGTTTCTGAAACAGGGTCTCACTCTGTTGCCCATGCTCGAGTACAGTGGTGCAATCATAGCTCACGGCAGCCTCCAACTCTTGGGCTCAAGGGATCCTCCTGCCTCAAGTCTCCCTAGTAGCTAGGATAGGACTATAGGTGGGCACCACCCAGTGCACCCAGCTAACTTTAAAACAATTTTTTTGAAAAAATAGGGTCACACTTTGTTGCTCAGGCTGATTTCGAACTCCTGGCCTCAAGTGACCATCCCACTTGGGCCTCCCAAAGTGCTGAGATTACAGATGGGAGCCACCGT